GAGAGCTGCAGCAGGGTCTGTATTTCCAACAAAAATCATCTTTCCTTTCCTGCTGCTGGGAGCCCAAGGGCTGCACAATCACTGCGCTTCACACCCAAATGGATGTGTCAGGTTCTGATTCCCAATAACCCAGCAGGRACTGGCAATTCCTGCATTTCCCTTTGTGGGAATTGCCAGCACAGGCTCCCAGGCCTGCAGCACACACAGAGTGTGGAATTGGCACTGGAGGCAGCGGGCATTTCCTGAGCTGGCACTGCCAGGGCACAGATCCCTCGCTGAGCTGGGCACGGCCGGATCCGGGATTGCCACCGACACCCTTTGGAATGAACCCAAGCTGCGGCTGCCAAGGGCTGGCACCGAGCCCTGAGGCTGCTCCGTGCCCTGGAGAAGCCACAGCCATCCAGTTCCCTCATTCCCAGGGAGCAGGGAGGAAAATCCCACCTCAAATTCCCAAGGGATGGTCCCCAGCAGGGCACAGCAGCACGGGCAGCATTCCCATTATAATCACATCCCATTTCCCGTGCAGGAAATGGGATCAATCTTTTAATAAGTGCTCTTCARATCATTGTGTGGAGGAGGAAAATAAATTGTGTTAAGGATAGTGGGCCTTGTCCCCGTGCCAGGCTTGTCCTGTCCACRTCCAGCAAGGAAACCAAAATAAATAAATGTGACACGTAACCTCCTCCACAGGCGTGTGAGTGCTGCAGCAAAGCAAAGCCTGAATGGAAAAGCTGCTGCTCTGTTTATCTGTGTGAGGTCCCCCTCCACTCACAGCCCCTGCAAACCGGGAGGAAAAAATAAGAAAATTGGTAATATTGACTTGTGCACCCTGAGGGAGATGAAAACACAGCCCAAACAACCCTGGAGCACAGGGAATGGTTTGGGTTGGGAGAGGCCTTCAGACATCAGCCAGTCCAAGCCCATCTCAAATCCATCTGAGCTGTAATTCCAGCTCTCGGGGCCACTTTCCAGCCCAGAGCCACAGGGATATTCCTGCCTCTAATCACATTTCCTATCAAAGCAGCACAAGGATATTCCTTTCTAATCAAAGCTCCTATCAAACCAGGTACATGGATATTCCTGACTAATCAAAGCTCCTATCAAAGCAGCCATAAAACCCCAGAGATCCAGGGGTAGCCACAGCTTCTCTGGGCACCTTGTGCCAGAGCCTCACCTCCCTCACAGGAGGAACTTATCCCTAATATCCAAACCTGCTATATTTTGCCCTTTTTCTGACAGGCAATAATTTGTGATGTTTCCCTGGTTCAGACAGCAAGGGCTGGTCCCAGGGCATCCCTTTGGCCTTCCTTTATCATGGCACCAGAAACTGGGAGAGAGGATTTTCTCTCCTCARCTTAAAGCAGCAGAAAACCCTCGGGGTTTGCGCTCTGGCACAACAAAAACCATCACTGAGGGGAGAAAACCAGACAAAACCTCCTCTGTGTGCTCCCACTGCCTCTGCCCAAGGGATGGCTCTGGAGAGTGAAGGGGGGATTGCACAGAGCAGATGCAGCACAGCCTGGAGCAGGGAAGAAGGATGGGGATATAGGATTGGGATGCAGGATGGG